GCCGGAGGCGGTGTCCCGTCAATGTGTGACATGACTTTGTATCCCTTGGCATGAAGTTGAAACAGCTTGACCCACGAGGAGTAAGAGACCTTCGTRCCGTCAAGCACCCGGACCTTGTGTTGGATATTGGTCACGGTGTAGACAGGGTGAAGGGCCTTAGGAGCGTTTTCAGGCTTAGTATTCATGGGTGAAAGGAAGAYGGTAGCAGGAAGAGGACAGCAGGGATGAAATCAAACCGTGGTTTGATCTCTGATGATAAGAGAGCAAGASCTAGGGTATCGAGTCTAGCTCTGATACCATGAAAGTAATCGTGTTTTCCTTTTATTATCTTCTATATACATCAGCTGAATATATATACAACTGAGAGGCTACAAATTAGGAAATGATCTCCACTCATTTAGGGGTGATCAATGACATAATAAACATCCTAAAATAGATGAGGCTAAACTCAGAAATAGCTAATTTACAGCTAATAGTTCTTACATCTTTTTATCTGATTAACCGTATGCCCTCATATTTTTCTCATTCAATTTCCAAATGGCACATCTTTTTCTCCGGCTCCTAAAATCTTTGGATGTGTTTCTTATGTCCATGATCATCGCCCGGGACATAATAAACTTATAGCACGTGCTATCAAGTGTGTGTTCCTTGGGTATTCATGTGTCCAAAAAGGCTATCGTTGTTATAGTCCTACTTGCGTAGATATTTTACTTATGCTGATGTCACCTTCAATGAGTTGAGTCCCTTTGATGACAAACCTATCTCTAGTGGTTCAGAATCAACCAATCTGGTTCTGATTCTTTTGAATCTTCTGATCCTTCGGTCTTTGATATTGTGCAGACACTGAGTGTTGCTATTCCTACAGTACCTCCTGATACTCGTTTCACAAATGTGTATGTTCGATAGTGAGGCAAGTGCCTGAGACCCCAGAGTTCATACTAGTGCATCATGATTCTTGTGAGTCTCCTGTTCCACCACTTGATACACACTATCCTTGCCTACTGATACAGTGTCCGACCCAACACCTGATACACCTTAACCACCACACACACCGAGCCTTATGACTCACCTGGTGCCCTCTCCTTGATATCCAAGTGCCTTTCGAAAAGGCACACAAAGATATCCCATTCATGATTATCTTGCCTACTCCCACCACTGTTCAGAGTCGTGTGCCTACATCACAGCTGCTGATTACCATATTGTTCCCAAGAATGTAACTGAGGCTCTTAATCATCCAAGATGGTTGTTGGCAATGCAGGAAGAGATAGATGTCCTACAGAAGAATCATACTTGGTATTTGGAACAACTTCCTCGTGGAAAGTGCAAAATGGGTTGTACATGGGCATTCACAGTGAAACTTCACCCAGATGGTTCACTGCATTGGTTGAAAGCTAGGTTAGTTGCCAAGGTTACTCTCAAGCCTATGGGGTTGACTATAACGAGAGGTTTTCCCCCGGTGGCCAAAATCTCGTCTGTTCGAATTTGTATAGCTTTGGCTGCCATTAATCATTGGCCGCTTCATCAGTTGGATGTCAAGAATGCTTTTCTTAATGGCATTCTTGAGGAGGAGGTATACATGGAACAACCACCTAGGTTTGTTATTGAAGAGTCCACAAAGGTGTGCCAATTGCGACGTTCATTGTATCGTCTCAAACAGTCCCCTCGAGCATGGTTTGGACAGTTTTCAGATGTTCTCTAGGAGTTTGGTATGACTCTTAGATCCTAGGATTATTCTGTGTTTTTTAGACATCATGATGATCAACGAATTATACTAGTGGTCTAAGTAGATGACATTATTATCGCCGTGGATGATCGTACACGGATTTCAGACTTGAAACAATTTCTATAGAGACAGTCTGAAGTTACCAATCTTGGATGGCTTTGTTATTTCCTTGGGATAGAAGTATCTCGATCTCGACAAGGGATTCTTCTATTTCAGCGAAAATATGTTCTTGATATGCTTATTAAGTGTGGTCTATTGGGATGTAAACCAACATACAACCCAATGTTTGCTACGAGAAAACTTCTTCCAGATGATGGAAATCCTTTGAAATATCCAAAGAGATATGGGAAAATGGTTGGAAAGCTAAACTATTTTACGGTTACTAGACTAGATATATCATTCCTGGTTAGTGTCTTGAGGCGGTTCATGTTTGCTCCCTATACAAGCCATTGGGAGGCAACACTTTGCGTTTTTAGGTATCTCAAGGCTACACCGGGCTTAGGGATACTTTATTCAATTCAGGGCCATGTCGAGTGGGTGCATTCACTGAAGAAGGGGATGGTAGGATATCTGATTTTTCTAATGCCGATTGGGCTGGTTGTCCCGTTTTCAGGAGATCGACTACAGGATATTATGTATTTGTCTATGGGAATCTAGTTTCTTGGAAGAGCAAGAAACAATATGTAGTCTTCCGATCAAGTGCCAAGTCAAGAGTATAGAGCCATGACAGATGTGTCATGTGAGATGACATGGGTAAGAAGAATTCTAAGAGAGCTTGGAGTGATTACTGACAACTTGATGAGATTATATTGTGATAATCAGTAAGCTGACAACTTGAGAGATTATATGGCCAAAAATCAAGTAATTCATGAGAGGACTAAGCACATTGAGGTTGATTGTCATCTGATTAGAGACTGGGTTGTAGAAATCCAGACAGACCCTCCATCGATTCAACCAGTACACATTTAGTCCAAGCACCAGCTTGCAGACATTCTCACAAAGCCGTTGCGGAAACCCCAAATAGATTTTAATTGTAACAAGTTGGGCATGCTTAACATCTTTGCTCCAACTTGAGGAGTAGTGCTAGATTTCATACATAGTTAGATATCTAGGGTTTTACCTTCTTGGTCTCCTTTGTATAGTTTACTAATATAGGACTCTTTTGTGTATAAATGTTTGTATTCTCTCCTATTGTGAATAAGAAAAGATAATTCCTAGAATATTCTCACAACATATGCCAACTATTACATCAACTGCCACCCAATTCTTCAACATATTAATCACCTAGCTAATGAAATTCAGGAACATGGCGGGTTGGCGGGGTTCTTGCTGTTTCTCGTGCTTTTGGAGACAAATTACTCAAGCCTTATGTTGTAGCTGAACCAGAAATTCAGGTATAGCTTATCACATATTTCAAAATTCTCATAATCAGTATAAACCCAAAAATATGACTTGAACATGTATCTAGCACATCCTTTGTTGTGTGTAGTCTTCAACATGTATGCTTCTTTATGTATATATTTTCAACTCCTCGCATATATAAGAGGAACCAAGAGAATCTTTATAGGTTATTTGCATCGATGTTTTTGTTTTCTTGATGCAATGATGATCATGAATATCTATTTTGCTTGATGCATTGTTGAATCACAGGAGGAAGAAATTGACGGTGTGGAGTTTATAATCATTGCAAGTGATGGGCTCTGGAATGTACTGTCAAATAAGGTTAGCCAACTCCCCATTGATGGTATCTAATTTTCTGTGTGTGGAACTTGGAGAAATTAGCTTTGAAGTTCTCTTGTCATTTGTCTTTGAATCACAAATTCTGGACATGAGAGGCATACCTAACTTGAAATCCTAGAAACTTATCCCTGGGGTTGTTATAGCACATGTATTCAGCGCTATGCTGGTCAGCCTTAAGAGGGCCACTTGAGGGGTTCAGCCAAAATGTGAAAGAGTTCCCTAGCATTCTACTTATTTAACAACTATTTTAAGTTGCATTTAAAGAGTAGAGCGACTGTTTCCCAAGAAAATCCCCAACTAGTCAAAAGTGTGTAAATGAGGTTTCTCGCATTTTAAAATATAAAATAAAACTAATGTAAGTGATGGTTGTTGCAGGATGCGGTGGGTATTGTGCAGGAAATAACAGACGCAGAAGCTGCATGTAGGAAACTTGTGCAAGAATCGTATGCAAGGGGCAGTTCCGACAACATTACTTGCATTGTTGTACGGTTTGAGAACCGTTGATACCTCTAAATCTAATGTTGTTTTCCAAATCCATAGGTAATGGTGGTGGTTGATCTAATAGTGATAACCAAATTGACTTTGGGTTACCTGTTGTTGCTTCCAATTTTTAGAGGTATACCCTCAACCTCAAACTCTTGTTTCTTTCAATCTTCTTTATGCCTTTTTCAGCTTTATATAATATAGTAAGTAGTGTGGGATAATGGGACTGGGATGCTTCTAAATGTGTAGTCATTGGTTTTCAGTTTTTGTGTACATGTTATGTATATAGATATGGTTTCATTCAGCATTGGTGGATAATTTGCCCAAATCCAAGGGTTTATGTTTTGAATACATATCACTTGTATTCTATCTCCTTCATGTGTCACCAATAAACCCTTGATATGTTATATATATATATATATATATGTATGTATATATATTTAATTCATATTTTAATCTATTTTCTTTTAATAAAATAGTGATATGTCAAGAGTTGATTGATGGATGGGAAAGAGACATGCATTTTGAAGACAGGTGATCTGTAAAGTTACTAGTAACAAAATAAAGGTGGAGGGTAAATGGGAAAAGCCTACGCATATTTCAGGATATGATTTTTTTCTTATCTTCTATATTGGTTTCGTTTGTTCTTCACGGCAACGACTCTTGCCATGGTTAGAACTTACCAGGTTAATTGTTGCATACGATACCGTTTTGATAGACTAAAATCTCACCTGATAAGTAATTGACAATGTTGAATTTTGCCGGTAAGCACTTATCGGAATAAGCGTTGGTAAACGACCTCTGAATGTATTTTTATAAGTTGGAAAATGGTTGGGTACGACTCCACCCAAAGAGGCTGGTCAAAGATAGGTATTTAGATACTAGTTGATTCTTTTTGTGGACTTATGTTTGGATATTTTCGACGATTAAGTAGTAACCATCAATCAAGACTTGATTCATTTTGTCTTTTAGGTTTTAATTTAACCATCATTCTTAACATATGTTGTTCACAATCACAATCACAACCAATTGAAGTTGGGTTGAGTTACTCAACCAATGTAAATTGGGCTGCATTGTGCATTAAAAATGTCTTGAATGGTTTAGGATTTCTTTTTCCTAACAAGTTTATTTATAGTGGGTGGGAGGTTCAGAAGAGTATGACTAAATAAAAGAAAAATAAAAGAACAAGAAAATATTTAAATCATGATTTTATACCAATAGTCGATGCAACGGTGTGTCAGTGGCGTGGCTTCGCGAACAAAGACATGTGAATCAAATGTGATTTTTGTATAAAACTACATGTGGTTTGACTATTTTCTTATTATCTTGTTTAATTATTGTTTTTGTGTAAATTTAACTCTCTGTGTATATATATGTATATATATATATATATATGTAAGACGCGAATTTTAAAAACACATTCTCGTTAACTTACCGAAATTGTACCGTACTTAAAAAAAAAAAAAAACGGTCGGAAATTGTTAAGAGTTAAAACTGGCAAACTCTTAATGATTATATATATTATATATTATATTATATTATATATATATATATATATATATTATATATATATATATGTAAAGTTAAAGAAAAAGAAACCAACGTCGGCTTCTTCATCTCTAACCCGCCTCATCTCTCATCTCTCTCTTTTATAATTTTCTTCTCTCTAAAAGTTTCTCAAATCGTTGAAGTAATCGATGTAACGTTTATATATTCGGAATCCACTCTTCGAACCTTTCATAAAGGTATAAATTTCATTCACTTTTATTAAGATGTTTACGTTAGCATTTTTAGACCGGTTTATAAATGATGTTATGTCTAAGTTTACGGATTGATATAGTTATAAGTATGATATATTTCATGTTTAGAATGCTAGGATTGATAAAATTGATGTAGAATTTAAAAACGGTAGATTATGGTTTCATTACGGTTAGATTTGGTGTATATGTTTAACGGTACAC